AATCATCGGATTTCTCTCGTCACGAGAAGCTCGCTCTCTTTTTATTTTTCAGCGAAGCTCTGGCTCCTTTTATCAAGGGCCGAATAGCTGAGGGTTTCTACGCCCCTCCGCTACATGTAAGACGCTGAAAAGAAATGCCTAAATGGGTGAGAGAGAGAGAGAGAGAGAGAGAGAGAGAGAGAGAGAGAGAGAGAGAGAGAGAGAGAGAGAGAGAGAGAGAGAGAGAGAGAGAGAGAGAGATAACTGTATTTGACAGACTCGAGGTCCAGTACCAGTCACATCACATCAAAATTGTACCACTGTACAGGGCAGAGCACCACGCTCTCCGAATCGATGAATAACATGCCAGATCACTTTCATATAGGGAGGATACGATTCGGTTGTCCGTCTGGCTCAGGCGAGTCATGAATCCATAGACGGCCTTTCGATACATCGCCATAAAGTTATCGATTGGCGATGTATCGATTGTGAGGGTTAAATATCAATTGATTTTTAAGTGCCGAAGCCCGAAGCACTTTAATTTACTTCGATAGCAGTTTTTAAGACCAACGAGCTCGAATACTATAACTTCTTGAACAATGTAAGCACCACATGAAATGAATCGTGAGAGAAGCGGCTCAAGATTAAGGAGCTATGAGACACTTAATAAAAACGGCATAGATTAGAAACTGCACCTAACTTGCACTGGTTTTTAAACCTTTTCGTTGCAGACTGGTAGATTAAATTTTAGGATTGATTTCAGCTGATGCTCAAATGGAGCTATTCATTCGTTCATTCATGCGACCATTCAATTCCATTCATAAAAGAAGCCAGTGACAAAATTGTTCATTTTAGATGTGTGAAATACAAACTCAATAAAAGTTTAATGATACGGCAAATTTGACAGCTTTTATAATGAGCAGAAAAATAGCTTTAACAAATCAAGGTTGAGAGCCCCAAATTGGGGAGAGTGAGGTAAGATGAGCCAAGGGTCAAGTTAAGCCTCAAATGTTTCTCAGCTCCTATGGCGCTAATTGACTTGAGCTTCCATGTGCCGTTCGCTTACGATGCTGCAGTCTTTCACGTGAGACGGCAACGTTCTCACGCTCAGCACCCGCGGTAACATGTGGTATCGCCCCTGATAACTAAGACATGTTTTGCCTTTAAAATGAGATGGTTTGTTATCTGCGGTGCATGGTTATTTTCCTTAGCGGGTGTCATTAATCGAAAATGGCCACGGGTGGGGCAAGATGAGCCATTTTCACCTGGGGGAGGATGAGCCGGATAAGCCATTGTTGTCTCCGCTGTCGAAAACCAAACTGAGCTGCGCTTGTTTCTGCTGAATAAAAATGGTAGGAGATTGTTTTTCTTTGTTGATTACACAAGTTGTAAGTAATTTGCAGATTATCTGAAGGATAAAATGATTTCTTCCGTGATAGCAAACTTGACGAGTTATTGGAAGGCTTAAAACAGTCACTTTTTGATGGAGGAAAAAAACTTTGCCATAAGTATGTATGCCATGGATGATGGAGTAAATAAAAGAGCCCACTCTTCGCCGCGCCCGGGAAAAGAAGAGGTTCGCTTTTTCTATCCATGCTCAACTTTCCCCACGACTTGTCTCAACTTACCCCGCCCATGGGGTAGGATGAGCAACGTGCAAGATGATTTTTGACGTAGCCTTTCAGTACAAAAATAAGCGGTATGAAACATTTCTGGCCACCATTACATGCGCAAATGACCACTCTGTCCGTCGAACCCGTAAACGCAGAAAATGATCAGCCTGTAGCTTATATACGAAAAACAAAAAGCAGCTCAACTTACCTCATTCTCCCCTACGTAACACAATTGAGGGCATTTTTTAGGCCATCACAGTATTTGCCAACAATTGTTGTTTGGGGGACTGGGGAGGGTGGTTACTGGCTCATAAACTGCCCCCCCCCCAAAGAAAAGAAAACGGAACCGATCATCCGCGAAAAGAACTATTGAGCTCGAACCAAGGTGACGAATCGATTTATAGGTATGCAGGATGACTAACGATGCCACTTTTTGACTTCTTGTGTCGAATAAATTCCATCATCTGGATTGCACGTCAACATTCTATTTGACATTTTACAACAAACGTATACTATTTGGCGCGACTGGCCTCATAAATGTTCTGAAACTAAAACCGTTTCCTCGCAATTAACTTGAACCACGTCATCCCAGCTTATGCACGACAAAAATAAAATAATGCTTCAGGATCACTGGCCTGAATTCCAATGCTTAAAGTTTACTCAAAACCGGTGTGGCTGAGGCACTCTTCGCTACATCTCGTGACGGCCACCATTGTGTTGCATTTTTTTTCGGTAAGCTATAAGTTAATAAGGAAAGGATTGGTGAGTGGGTTGAAAACAGCGCTCTCCCTCCACCCCCCCCCCTTCTTCTTCTGGAAACATAAGTAACCGAAAGATCTGGCGATGGTTTATCCACCTCCTCTGCCGCCGCACTGCGAGGCCTCGATTCGTTCGGTATGTGGATTCCTGAGCGGTCCTCCCCGGAGGCAAGGTGAAAGGCCATGGCCTGTATCAGAAATTTATACGTTGCTGAGTATGTTTTATAGTTCTTCCAAGGTCTTGGACACCGTTTTATTATACCGGATAGGCATTGCACTTTCTTGTCAATCAATATATTTAAAGAAAACTTGATCATAATCTTATACTGCGGCAATTGTAGTTCTGCTTACGGTTGACTCTTTATGATACGGGCCACCACCACCTCCACTGCGCTGGAGCTCAGGCGTTCTACCCCTCCTCGCTACGGACCGGCCCTCGGGCTAGGTGTGTTAGTACTGAGTGCAAACCTGTAGTAGTCACGTGACTTTCATTCACGTAGCGGGAACGGAAGCTATAGGCGATACCAAGGACGGGCTCTGGGGAGGCAACCGGCGCGGAAAAATAGCACGATTGTAGTTTTGGAAGAATATCTGTTGCGGTAAGAGGAATTATACAAAACATACGTCCTAGGAGGAAACATGTGTTATTCCTTCATACTTTGCGCTACATTTCATTTCTCCAATGGCCAGCACATCGCAAATAATAGCGCAATTCTAAATTGGTAATATATGTGTACAGTAGCAACTGCGGGTCCCTGTACCATCGGGGGACCGGCCGCCGTCGGCACCATTTCGGGACTTTGCATCGCAATAAAAGGCTTATTTACAATTGAAAATGGACTAGCGAGAGTCGTTATGGAATCAGAATTTGATGCTCTACAAAACTAGGCTATTTTCATTGTGATGGCATCACAGACTACACCGCTAAACCCAATAAAGCAGATTTATGTCGCGTCATCGATGATTACATATAATGTATCATTCTTTGATATATATGTAGTCGGGTCTTTCAGCTGCGTCCCTCCCCTCCCTCGCCGCGCCGGCGGGTCGGCCATCCGTGGCTTGCCGCCCGCCGGCTGCTGGCCGGTCAGCTGGCCGGTCAGCTGGTCGCCCGCGGCTGTCGGTGCAGTGCGGGATGCCTACTTGCGGGGGGGGGGGGGCCGTCGTGGCGGCGGCCCGGGTGGACTGGGCGAGCAGTGAGTTGGGGAGCGCTGCGCTGTCGGTGCTCTAGTTTGTATTGCGTTCGCATGATACGGCTTGAGCCAATACAGAGTGAACTGATTGAGCTGAGCAAGTCTTTACATACATTGAAAAGTAAAGCACTTTTTACTGCATCTACGGTGAGATGCTAGATAAAATTTATGGTCTACCTAATGGTACCCATTACTTAACAATTAAGTGAATCATTTCGTCGCTAAACTCTCGTAAATTCGTATGTCCGCCTCACTATGGAGTTTGGACCGTAACGTATGGCCTTTGCTCAGACAGTATACGAACAGGTGACGGGGATACCTCTAATAGAAGGATGCGACACGATTTTACTGCTAAATAGCGGCCGGCCGCCGTGGGGACGTTTTTGTACGACTTATATCTCGGCAACCACTGGGCTGATACACGTGCGGTTTTTTTGTGTGGGGTAGCTTTTTCCCTTCTTTCACATAGTGTGCTACTCTCGATGCATATGGGTGACCCCTAACGCACGTTCCACGTGCAAAGCCAAGAGGTGCCTGTTTTGTAATAAGCGCAATAGCTCGCGGTAATTACTGGGCCGATTGCGCTAAAACTTGGCATGGAGGTAGACACTTTCCAGGCGATGCATTTCCATGTGTCTTGGTAGGGGTGCAACTGCACGTGCGCACGTGCAGGGTGACGCTTCCAGATCTCGAGAACGGCTGGACCGATTGTGTTCAAATTTGGCATAACGCTTGATACCGATCAGTAGGTTGCAGTCATTTAGTATGTATTTCCATGTGCCACGATTGGGGTGCAACTGCACGTGCGCACGTGCAGGGTGACGCTTCCAGATCTCGAGAACGGCCGGGCCGATTGAGTTCAAATTTGGTACACCGCTAGAGACCGATTAGTAGGGTGCCGTGCGCAAGTCAGTTTGGACCCATCTTGCACGTGCGCACGTGCAGGGTGACGCTTCCAGATTTCAAGAACGGCTGGACCGATTGCACTCAAATTCGGCAAACATCTAGAGATCGATCAGTAGGGTGCCGTGCACAAGTCAGTTAGTATGTATTTCCATGTGTCACGGTTGAGATGCAACTGCACGTGCGCACGTGGAGGGGTCGTTTCAAGATCTTGAAAACGGCTGGGCCGATTGAGCTCGAATTTGGTACACCGCTAGGGACCGGCGAATAGGGTCCCATGCACAATGCAATTGGACACAGCTTGCACGTGCGCACGTGCAGGGTGACGCTTCCAGATCTCGAAAATGGCCGAGCCGATTACACTCAAATTTGGCACACCGCTATAGATCAGCGAGTAGGGTGCCGTGCACGTCAGTTTGTAACACACCGACTCCGGTCTGCACGTGCAAGGCTCATCCTCTCGTTTGGCGGCGGGCGTTTTTGCTGCGTTTACAAAGGTGCTTGCTCAAACAACCTGCGGTCCCGCGATGCGGAGCCCAGCATCGCAGATGCTGGTAGGTGAGGGAGAGCACATCAGTGTTCTGTTCCGGTCCGGTCGCAGTATATCCACTCTCCAGACGGCGTCAGGTGGCGAACTAATGGTAGACGAGGAGAAGGGATATCTCTATTGCTCAGTCTGTGTGCCTCAGCCGAAAGACGAACAGAGAAGCAGACCTGGCTTGTTTGCCTACGACTTTTCACTTGGCTCAGTGTTCGCCAACTGTTCCGTGCTGCCACCACGGTTTAAGAGCCTGCGGGACACAGTTGCAAAACATTTTAGATCGGAAGGCCATAAGGCCATGAAAAAGTCGCGCTGTGAGTCGAACGAGCGCGAAAACGCCCTGCATGATGCAAACAAGACGGCGGCAGCGAGGGTTCTTCGAACAGCATACCTCGTTCTGAAGAAGTCGCTCAGCCAGCTTCTTTTCGAGGAACTCATTGTCCTCCAGCATTTGAATGACGCCTTCATGGGAAACATAAATCACTCGCGCATGATGATGGACACCGCCAGGACGGCGGTCTGCCAGACATTGCTATCAAATCTAAAAGAACACGTAGAATCTCAACCGTGTGTTGCAGTACTGGCGGACAAAGTCACCATCGCCCGTCGAACAGTTGACATAACCGCAATACAGACCCTTGTGCCGAACGCAGAGCCCGACCACATCTTCCAGACCTTCGTGGTCGGCGCTCCTGTCGTGAAAAATCATGACGGCGAGGCGCTCGCAGCCGACATCTGCAGCACGCTGTCTGAGGTAGGCGTCACCAACACGGAGAAGATTGCTGCTGTGGCGGCCGACGGCCAGTTCCACCACAATGGTGTGCCACAAAAGCTGGCACGACTACTGGAATCGTCGAGCGGCTGTCCCATTCCGGCCGTATGGGACCAGGCGCACCTGATGAACCTGGCTGAGTCCGATGCTCGCAAGCACTGTAACAGTAGATGGGTGAGAGACACCATTGAAACAGTAACAGAGGTGAACAAGATGTTCTCCATCGGCAAGGGATGGGAGGACCTCAGGCGATGTGGCGAGGATATGGGAGAGCCGGTACTGCGACCAAAGCTGTGGTCTGAAACACGCTTCGCAGCGTACGCTGCGGAGGTGTTTTCCGTCTTCAGACGGAATGAGAAGCAGCTGCGAGCGGCACTGCGCAGGAAGAGGATGGAGGAAACGCGACCGTCGCATCTGAAAGAGCTGGAGAGGCTGCTTGTCTCGCTAAACGGTAAGTACTTCAACCAGGCTCGATGGAGACAGCTGTGAAGCAGCTGTCGCCCCAAAGTAACCATTGGGTTATGTGGTTCTGGTCCTTCTCGCATGTCTCTCTCATTTTGTGTTATTAATTTTGTCGTTCAAGTGTTGTGCTGTCCGGATAAGTTGTCACGCAATATCAATTACCATTCAAGCCTTTCCTTGTTGACCGAGCGCCTTTCACTAACTCATTGTACTTTGACACCTTTTTAATTTTTGGAGACGACGATGAGACATTATTCACGAAACCTCATTTAAATATGGCATCGGAATGTAGGAATTACTTTCTAGCTTTTCACTACTTTAATTATTGCTGTTAATGTTGCCGTAGCCAAGAAATGTGCCACATAATTGCGAACAGAACAAGACATTATTGCCAAGTTTTAAATGACATTATTTCTTGTTTATGACCAATGATGGTAAAAGCACAACGTATCTGCTCACAGATCCAGCGTTTCATGCCCGCGTGAGGGCGCTGGAGGACATATATGGTGTACTGGGAGCAGCCAGCAAAGCCGTCCAGAGAACGCAGTCCCTGCCGTGGGAGCGTCATGCTGACCAGCAGGAGGCCGTGGAGACGATCCGCCGCATGAAGGTAGCGCTGGTGACACAGCACAAGAAATCGCCTACCACAGAAGACCTCCTGTGTTTGGCTGATAAAGACGAGCTGTGGCCTCGCTTATCAGCGAGCGAGCCATCAGTTCCAGCAGCGGAGGTGAGAGGCTCGGCTGTTGGTTATCCTGGTCACCAAGTACTTTCCGATTGATCTGAACTGAATAGTGTGTTAGGCTAGGCAATAGGCATGCACATGTTTTTGCAAAGACACTCGCGCTTTAAATGCATTTTCGTATGTGTTTGTGTGTGTTTGGGAAAGGGGTCTTAGGATGGTTACAGGTACCTTAAGTGCAAAATTATCCCGGAGTAATATTAGTTACCTGCTATTAACAGCTGTTTATTCAGTTACATTCAAAGCACGGCTGCTTCTTAGCTGACATCTTTGATGATCACCGCTGTTTATAAGCAATTGCCTTGCAAAAAAGTAATTTGAAAACACGCACGCATACTAACACAAAGTATAGCATGCGTACGCTGTCTGACTTCGATCAGGTGACCTGCAAATAGGTAACGGTCCTGTGATAAGGTAATAAGATTGGCTGAGCTAATCTAAAACGCTTTCCCCCTTTTTGTTTCATTTCAGGTCGCCAAGATCGCCTTCTTCTGCACCAGCATAATGGAGCGACTGAAGTTCCGAGGGGCTGGTCAAGATGTCAGCGGCTCTGACAAGAACACGGCCAATAATGTTCTGGGTCAGAGCATGGCTGATCTGCGCGCCGTCGCTGACCTGCACCAGCTGGCCGGATCGACCGTGCCAGTGCCAGTGGCAGCTCGCCTCTACCGAGAGGCAGGGGAGAGGCTGGTCAGAAGAAAGCTGATCCCAGTGGACACGGTACCGACTGAAGGTGAGATTCGCTCCGTGCTGCCGCTATTGCGTCGCCATCGTGAAGAAACCAACCAGCAGCTATGGAAGATGCTGAACCGGCACGCTGATGACCACTCTGCAAGGGCCCTCACCAACCTGGTCACCCGTATCTGGCTCCTGTCCCCACCAGAAAGTGTTGTGGAGTCGATGGGCAGTGTCATCGCTGAGGTTTTTGGGGAACATCGGCAGCTGGAACACGGCAACGCTGCGAAAGAACTAATTGTGAGGTGGAACGGCCCATCGCTGTGTCGGGCCGACCGCCTCCTCTCGCGCGTCCACCGTCACCTCTCTCGCGACGACAGCTTCCGGTGCGTTCGGAGGACGACCACCATCGGTCAGTCCTTCCACGGAACAGTTATTACCCGGCACAAACGGGCCCCTGACCACAGGGCGTGCCTTTGGACTTAGATATAGTAATGCAACCATGTTTGTAGAATGCCTGTTAGATTATGTATTGCTTTTAACCCTCGTCCGTATAGGGGAAGGGGATCGAACGCCCCACCCGCCTCGGTTTTTCGCGATAACTCGGCCGATCGGGACGAAACTTTCAGTACTCTCGAGTCAATCAATTTTACACCTACCCAGAAAATTGCATGACCCTGACCCAAATGACCTTTGACCTGTGACCTCTTTCTCGAAACCATGTTAGGCTGGAATTGCGATTCGGCGTGTGGCGGCTCGCATTGGCCGTTTGTAGTCTTTTTGTGGCTTCAAGCGTTCAAACATGTGATATGATGTTGTTCCCATGCATTATGGTGGGTGTCAAGGTCGCCTGAAGGTCAGGTCAGGTCATTGACCTTTGATGACCTCGGCTCACTTTTTAGTTTTTACCTGTGTCCAGGCTGGTTTTTGGAGCTGGTTTCGAATTTAGCATTTAGTGCATTTGGCATTTAGCGAATTTAGTGCCTTTGTAACATGTTACGAAGCTGTCAGTGGCGGTTGACACCTACTTTGAATACCCAGCAGGACATCTACTGGTTGACATGACCTGACCTGACCCGGCCTGGCTTAAATGCATGAAGACATCATGCATTTATGTCCCGTATTTGGATTGTGAAGCCACTGTCTTTCAACGTGATATGTGACTGTGGGTGTGTGTGTGTGTTTGAAATGACGATGTGAATGATAGCATTTGTCACAGACTTCTCTGTTTCCATGGAGACATAGAGAAGTCTGTGCATTTGTAGATAATCTGTTGTGCTTCTGTTACTCCTCTCGTCAAATTAAAAGAAGAATACTTGCTGCTATTGGTTGAGTGTTGATGAAATTCTGCAGATGTTCAGGTTACTTAAGAAGTTACGCGAGTTTTTGGTGGTGCATCGGTTTATTTTTGTGTAGGCTGTAACAACAGAGGATTATACTTCAAATAAGTCAGTAACTTTGTTTGAAACCCTGTCGTTTTTTTCAAGCATTCAGTGACTGCTCGTTTGTGCTTTCAATTCGGAAAACCTAGATGTGGTAAAGCGAAATGGATTGCAGATTCTTTTGACTAAAAATGTCAAACTTCGAAGAAGACACCTTAGGATCTATGGGAAAATAAAAGACAAAGCATAGATTAAAGCTCCGGTAATAATATCTGCATTGTATACCTACGCTCGCAATTTTCGGAAATGGAGGCAATGCGACAGAGTTGAGAGGTTATGTTTGAGTATGCGACAGGTCGATTGGTTTTTGCACCTCTGCATACAGGTAGGCACCCACCAGTCAATGCATTCCCATATGTTGCGGTTAGGGTGCTACTGCACGTGCGCACGTGCAGGGGGCGTTTCCAGATCTCGAGAACGGCTGGGCCGATTGCGCTCAAATTTGGTACACGGTTGGGGACCGGTTAGTAGGGTGCCGTGCAAAAGTCATTTTGGACCCCGTTTGCACGTGTGCACGTGCAGGATGCCGCTTCCAGATCTCAGGAACGGCCGGGCCGATTGCGTTCAAATTTGGCACACCGCTAGCGACCGGTTAGAAGGGTGCTTTGCACAAGCCCGTTGGAAGTACCCTCTCGCCCTTCCGCACGTGCAGGGCTCACTATCTCGCTCGCTCGTTCTTCGCCCAAAAGGCGTTTTACTGGTATTTTCAGCGACTAATTACGAGCGAGCGAGCGCAGCGAGCGAAGTGAGTCTTTTTTCAATATAACGGAAAAATCTCAGTATGAGCGGCCCGGCCCGGCCCGGCCCGGCCTGTAACGCTTTTGAGAGGTGTGGTGTCGCGAGCTGCTCCCCCCTGCCCGGGGGCCTGGCGACGCCACTGGCGGCGCCGGCGCGCAGACGCGGGGTTCGAGGGAGTCGGCCGCCGGCCCGCGCGGAGTGCGGTTGCTGCAGGAGCGATCGGTGTTTGGCGCTCTGGGAAGTTTAACGCTATGCGGCTTTGGTTGTGAATAAAGAACTCACGTTACAACATCCTGGCGACAAGGATGACATGCAGCGGACATGCCAGACGTCAGTTGTGACTGTGAGTCGCGCGGTGGTGATGGCCGGGATTCGGGCGCGAGCGAGTCAGTCGGGGAAACTATGGTAAATTCTGCTATTTTTAGCAGTCTGCTATTTTTAGCAGAAATCTGCTAAAAATGGGTACGCATGTGACGTCATCGTACCCAAATATAGCAGATTTGGGTACCGTCCCCGACAAAAGCAGATCTGCACCCTAATTGAAGCAAATGCGCATCAAATGCCTGGCAGATTCATGATTAGAATAGTGCTGAGAATGTCCTCTGATATTTTTGTTCAGATCCGACTATTTTTAAATAATGAATTTGAAAATAGTCGGATCTGAACAAAAATAGCAGAGAACACTCTCAGCACTATTCTCATCATGAATCTGCCAGGCATTTGATGCGCATTTGCTTCAATTAGGGTGCAGATCTGCTTTTGTATGGGGCTGTACCCAAATCTGCTATATTTGGGTACGATGATGTCACATGCGTACCCATTTTTAGCAGATTTCTGCTAAAAATAGCAGACTGCTAAAAATAGCAGATTTTACCATAGTTTCCCCGACTGGAGTGGGCACTGAGGACGGACGGTAAGATGCGGAGCGAAACGGTTGCTAAATTGAAATGCTTAGTGCGGCTTAGTGCTTAGTTTTTTTTTTTTCGCTGCTGCATGTGTTCGTTGGTTTGCCCGTCGCCCGGCGGCGATACGCGTGCGGCGTGCCAGTTTTTTGCCCGATGGCCGATCGTGGTGGCAGCCATGTTGCGCAGCGGACGGCGGCGCTGGCGTTGGCGGGCCGCGCTGTGATTGGACTGGCCGGTGGTGACGTCAGACGGGCACGACGCGTGTGATTGGCCGAGACTCACCGCTCGGTGACGTGACTGTGGCGTCACGGTCACGTGACTCCCCCGCTCGGGAAAGCGCGGGAAACCGTTGCGGCGGCCGCGGCGGCGGCAGAGTGCGGCAGAGTGGGAAGAGAGGAGCGGAGTGCGGTGACGGCCGGGTGCGTCGAGTAGACCGGGATATGCGGTGACGGCCGGAGTTCGCGGCGGCGGTCGGGGTTTTGAGAGATCGGAGCAGTGCAGCGCAGCCCTCGATGGACAGCACGGGACTGTCGATTCCGGCGGTGGAGCCGTTTCGGCAGGGCGACGACTTCGGCCGATGGTTGCGCGGTGTCGAGCGTTACCTGTGTGCGGTCGGGATCCAGGAGGCCGACCGGAAGTGTGCGGTGCTGTTGCACCTAGTCGGGCCGGACGTTGCCGACCTCAGCGAGACGCTGCCGGAGGAGACGAGCGAGACGGCCGACAGCTTCGAGCGGCTCACGGGGAAGCTGACGGCCTACCTGTCTCCGGTCAGGAACGCGGTGGCAGAGCGCTCTCTGTTCCACGGGATGCAGATGGAGCCTGAAGAAGACCTGGAGAGGTTCCTGGGTCGCCTGCGAGCGCAGGTCGTGCGCTGCGGCTATGCAGCCACTGAAGTGGACCGGGAGCTGCGCGATCGGTGCGTGCTGGGGAGCCGAGCCGATCTGCGGGCCAAGCTGGTAAAGCTGGCCGCCTCGAAGGGCGACGGTTTGACCCTGGCCGAGGTACGGCAGACGGCACGCGCGCACCGCGATATGGAGCAGCTCGGTGCTCAGCTGGGCGGCACGCGTCTGGCCGAGGCACCGGCAGCAAACGCCGAGGGAGCCGTCAATGCCGTGAGGTCGCCCCAGTCACGGCTCGGAACCTGCTTCCGCTGCGGTGCTGCTGGTCATTGGCAGCGCGACTGTCCAGCGGCCGGAGCTGTGCCGTTTGTTTGTTTGTTTATTGGGGCTTAAGGGCGCGCCGACTACAAGGTCATTTTGCGCCCATAACTATATACAAGTAAAGCAAGTGTGTCACAAGAAAACCGACGTAATAAAAGGCTTAAAAAAGCCTAAAAGCTGGTTAAAAAGAGCAAAGAAGGGTAAAATACTCCAAGCGTATCGTAAAAGACAGCTGACTAGGCGTAAGGACTAGATTAGAATAGACGTATGGACTAGTTGGTTTGGTATCAGATCGAGTAGATTACTTGGAATTTGATTGAACGGATAAAGGAAAAGATGTTGCCAGATAAAACCCAGGGTGACTCGTCACCCAGCAAGTGGCGGACGGTGATATCCGGAGCGATGCGGCCCAGGTAGCGAGTCCGGTCCGGTTCCAAGCGTCGACAAGATAAAAGCACGTGGGCGACGGTGAGAGGCACGGCGCACCCGCCGCAAACGGGCTGCTCATCTCCGCGGAGAAGGTGGCCATGCGTCGCATACGTATGACCGATGCGGAGCCTGCATAAAATCACTTCGTTTGACCTGTTGTCTTGCGAGCAAGACCTCCAATGCTCCAGAGTCGGCTTCACCTCTCGGAGCTTCCTGCCTCCACGCAGGCGCCACTCTGCCTGCCACTCCGTTAGAATAAAAGATCGTACAGCAGGGTAAAAATCACGCGCCGGCAATGGCAACCGACGAGTGCAGGGTGCTGCAGCAGCACGCCTTGCAGCCGCGTCTGCCAGCTCATTGCCATGAACGCCAACGTGACTGGGAATCCAGCAGAACTGAACAGATTTACCCGATTGTTCTACTGACTGAAGCCGAGCTAAAATGTCTTGAACGATCGGGTCGGCTGGATTAAAACTCCGTAGGGCCAACAGGCTGCTTAGGGAGTCCGATAAAATCAAGTAAAAAGGTCCGTCCGATACCTCAATAAAACACAAAGCCTTCTCGATGGCAACAAGTTCCGATGAAAACACCGAGGCGAAAGATGGCAACGAAAATGAACGGGTATCGTCGCCAGCGACGAAAGAACAGCCCGCTCCCTCAGGTGTTTTAGAGCCGTCTGTGAATACAGGAATAAAACCATCGTAAGAGGCAAGGTGTTCCAAGGCTCGGACTCGTGCCTCTGCAGGCAGCAACTTGCCCTTTGGAACTGCAGAAAGCGAAAGATCCACCTGTGGACTGACACTTTTCCACGGTGGAGGGGGCGCAGCCCAGGTACGACGAACGTTACGCAATGCTATGTCAGCTATTGAAAACAGTTCTTTCATGCGCACTCCGAACGAGGGTCGTAACCTTCCGTTACATCGGGTGGCATGCCGTGAAAAAACGTATGGGTACGTCGGGTGCATAGGAAATTGGCGCAGTTTCAGCGCGTACCGCATACCCAACATCTGACGGCGGAGTGAAAGTGGCGGTTCATGCGCCTCAGCAAGAATGCTGCTCCTGGGCGAGGTGCGGAATGCTCCGGTGGCTACTCGGAGTGCTGCATGATGGACTGTATCCAGGACCCTCTTGCTAGATTCACTCGCTGAATCGTAGACAAAAGAAGCGTAATCTAGCTTCGATCGTACAATAGATCGATATAGAAGAAGAAGGGTCCTGCGGTCCGCACCATAAGATGTGCGGGCGACACATTTTAAAACGTTCAGGGATTTAAAACATCGTTCCCGAAGCGTTCTAAAATGTTCTTTATACGTTAAACGACTGTCAAAAAAGATCCCAAGAAACTTCGCCACCGGACGAGTAGGAATCATCTGTCCATAGAGCTGGATTCCCAAGGGAAGGTCGCCGCAGCGGCGGCGGCAAAAGTGCATAGCGACGGTCTTCGTTGTTGAAAAACGAAGACCGTTGTCTCGACTCCATCTCTCCAACCGCGTCACTGCAAGCTGCAGCTGTCTGGCCATATGCCGAGCGCTTGAAGCGGCAAACCAAATGGCAAAATCATCCACGAAGAGCGATCTACCGATCGAGACCGGCAGATCATCAGCGATGTCATTGATCGCCACTGCAAAGAGCGCCACACTAAGCACCCCGCCCTGGGGAACTCCGTTATCTTGGGTAAAACTGCTCGAAAGACTACTGCCAACTCGGACTTTGAACCGACGACCCGATAAAAAGTTCTTAATAAAGAGGCCCATCCGGCCGCGTATGCCGTACTTGTGTACTTTGGAAAGTATTCTGTGTCGTAACACTGTATCATAGGCCGCCTCAATATCAAAGAACAGTGCTCCAAGGTGCTTCTTTTCAGTAAAACAGGTGCGTATCTCGGTGTCGAGGGCTAAAATGTGGTCAACAGGGCTGCGGTGCTTTCTAAAGCCGCACTGGGCGTTTGTAAAAACACCGTGATGTTCCAAAAACCAGCTAAGACGCACATTGACCATCTTCTCCATCAGCTTTGAAAGCGATGATGTGAGAGAGATGGGCCGATAGTGGAGAGGGTCATGTCCCGACTTGCCAGCCTTCAAGATAGGAATGATAGTGGCTTCCCGCCAGGTCTCAGGGAAAGTGCTAGTCTCCCAAAGCGAATTGAAAGTTGCTAGCAGCGCCTCGAGGGCAACTGCTGGGAGATGACGGAGCATGTCGTTGTGGACAGCATCCGGACCTTCTGAGACGCTGCGCAACGAGCTGATGGCAGACGTGAGCTCAGCCATAGAGAAAGGCTCATTGTACATCAAATTTTCAGCTGTGCTGAAGTCCACGGCGGCTGGTGCAGGTCGTGAGGACGGCTCTCCTCGGCAGCGCTGATAGAGTGCACGGCCTATCGTCTCTGCGACGTCTAAAGGGTGGGATATGTCCGTGTTGTTCACTCTTAAAACCGGAAGCGGAACAGAGCTGAACCGGCCTTCAATGCGCTTCATGCGTGCCCATATCTGGGTCGTAGGAGTAAAACGGTTTAAGGAACTCACGTACGTGCGCCATGAAACAGCCTTTGCCTCTTTTAAAACGCGACGGGCAAAAGCCCGCGCTTTCTTAAAAGCGATGAGGTTCTCAGTAGTACTACTCCGGTCAAACTTTCTAAAAGCGCGCTTCCTGGCACGAATCGCATCTCCGCATTCCTTGGTCCACCACGGGACCGGAGGACGACGAGGCTGACTCGACGTCTTGGGTATGCACCCGTTTGCGGAGTCAATGAGTAAACATGTAAAATCCTCTGTAGACATCACAGAGGGGTCGGCTCTGGATAAAACCGTGGCCTCTACGGCGGCCTGGAATTCGCCCCAGTCGGCCTTCCGAACATTCCACCTAGGTGGACGGTTGCCTGACACTGGGGACTCCTGGTGCTCCAGCCACACTGGGAAGTGGTCGCTCCCGAGTGGGTCGTCATGGACGGACCAGGTAAAAAGCTGAGCTAGCCGCGGACTGACTAAGCTCAGGTCCAGAGCCGATGTTTGACCGGAGGGTGTTGTAAAATGGGTGCGCTGTCCTGTATTTAAAATACACAGCGCCTCATCGCGGATAAAAGATTCTAAAAGTCGACCACGAGTGCCAGTCGTGTCGCATCCCCACGCCAGGCTATGGGCATTAAAATCGCCGACTACCAGGACCGGAGGTGGAAGCTCATCGACAAGTCGATGCAGCTCAACCACCGGGAGCGCTATACCTGGTGGTAGGTATAAAGAGCACACTGTCAGTTCCCGGTGGTTGAAATCAACTCTGGCGGCCACCGCCTGCAGAGGAGTCTGCAGCGGCACCTGGCGAGCAGGTACGCTGTGGTGAACCGCCAGAAGCACACCTCCATGGGCAATGGTAGGGGTGTCCAGGTCTCTTCTAAAAACAGAGTAGCCCTTGATGGCAAAGGTAACGTTTGGCGCTAGCTTGGTCTCCTGGAGACCTAAAACAAGGGGTGTGCGCCAACGGATAAGAGACTGTAGGTCCTGGTAGTTGGCCCGGAGGCCTCTACAGTTCCACTGTAGAATAAAAGGCGTGGTTAAAAAGGCGCAAAAAGGGCGCGTATAACATGAGGCAAAGGCGCACACAGATACCTGACTGACCACAAAAAAGGTAAAAAGCACCGAGAGAAATGCACCTGGTAAAAAAGCGCAATAGCGCGAAAAAGATAAAAGGATAAAAGAGGAAATGACTAGACTGAAAGACTAGACTAGGTCCTCTAACTCCGAGGAGGCGCTCCCCCCGTAGCGGATACGGGGGTGCCCTGAGCCCTCTCGGTGAAGCCTCCCTTCAGCAGAGGCAGATCGGGCATGGCTCGGGCCCGGCTGGGGCCTTTTCGACCGGGGGGCGTCGCCCTCCGAAGGTGACCAGCTCGGGGGCGTCTGCCGCTTGGCGAGGCGCCCTGGAGCCGCGGAGGGCTGTTGCCGCCCCGACGGGGATGTCGAGGCGGCGGCCTGTGTCCTCGACACAGGCGTCTCTGGCAGCGGCGGTGGTGGCCGCCGCTGCGGAGGTGGAGGAGGCGGCGGGGGACCCATGATGGGCCGAGTCCCCGCCTCAGGTGTCTCCGGGGTGTCAGCGGCGACAGCCGCATTGGCACTCCCGGAGGCGGAGTCGGCAGACGAGGCTTCCTTAGCCTCGAGGGCCTTCTGGACGAGGCGAGCCCTCCTCGCCTCACGTGCCCTTCTCTCCTCCTCCCCCCGCCGCAGAGCCTCCTGCACCGCCGTAGACGGTCGGGGGCGGGGCGGGGTGGGTGGCGCCTTACCCTGCGCCGGGGGGCGCCGACCACCCTGTCGGCGCTGGACGACGATCCAATCGTCTCCATTACCGTTCGCGGCTGGAGCGGGACTGGGTGGACCCCACACTGACTCTTGAGCAGCCTGCTCTGTGTTGCTCGGCGGCGCACGAGGCGCCGTGTTGTCCGCTGAGTCACCAGTGGCTACGACGGTGAGGCCGAATCGTTTGAGAAGCTGCACGAGCTGTGCTACGCTCATCTGGGAGGCATCGGTAGAGTTTGTGACTCTCACCTTCTGGGCATACGAGGTCTTCGGGTGACTCTGGTTGTACACCTCCCGGGCCTCTTTGAAAGACAGATTTCTGGTAGCCTTGATGGTCATGATCTCTTTCTCCTTGACGTATGCAGGGCAAGACCTATCATACGCGGAGTGCGGCGTCTGCCCCTCTCCGCAGTTGACGCATCGGGGGGTCTCCGAGTCACAGGTTTCGTCAGTGTGGTCCTGCGAAGCACACTTGGAGCACGTGGGTCTTCCTCGGCAGTTGTCCTTTGTGTGGCCGAAACGTTGGCAGCGGAAGCAGCGCATGGGCGCTGGGACGAAAGGCCGCACGCGAACCTTCACGTAGCCCACGCGAATCTCACTCGGCAAGTCGGTAGAGTCAAATGTCAGAATGATGTTGTTGGTCGAGACCGTGCCTCTCTTCGTCATGATGCGGCGAGCCGCTGTCACGCCGAAATCGGCGAGCCCGTCCGCAATATCCTCGTCGCTCACTCCCCTCAAATCGAAACAGTTAATGACCCCTCGTGAGGAGTTCTTAGAACGGTGGGGCTCCACTGTAAGCGGGATGGAAACGAGCCTCCGGCCGGATGCCCGTCCCTCGGAGAACACGAAGCGAGTAGCGTCCAATGCTTTCGCCGCCTCCTCGCTTTTCCTGAACTCGACCTCCAGCGCGCCATCACGCATCCGGTCACAACGAACTATCGAACCAAACCGGTCGCAGCCATCCTTCCGCTGGAAGGGCGACAGAGAGCTCAGCTCCCTGTCTGCGCTCCGGAAGATGAGGATCTTAGGAGATCGTGGACCTTTTTCAAGCACCGTTCGCCTGTCGGCCGAGGCCAACGGGCGAGGATCGGCCGAGGCCGAAGGATTGGTAAGAGTGGGGGAAGGGGGGTTGGTCGAGTTATCCATGGAGTGTGCTTGGTCTCCGCCAGCTCGGCCGCCGACGCTCCGCAACGGCGCCGCTACAAGGCCTGGGACGGCCGAGCTGACTGTACGGGACTTGGCGGCACCTTCCGCGGGGGAGAGAGAGACTCACCACCCCCCACGGTCGGATACCGCCTCCTCCCTTGACGCCTAGCCGAGTCACCGCCAGGGGCAGCGACGGATCAGTCCCACCGACGGAGGACGAGCACAAGTGCCCGAACCCCGCCGGCGACACCTCTCAGACACCACCCCCGGCGGCGTCACGACTGGGAATGGCTCCTCAAGTGCGGCGCCCCACTGAGTGTCCCGCCCTTACAGAACTCAGGGCCAAAGAGGCGTGTTGCCCAGCCACCGCGACTGGCTCCGCACGGTGGGGGGCTCAACCTCCAGGATCCCGTTGTCCTGGGGTACGGGTCGGCTCGCCTAGCCTAGTAAAACCGGCTGGTACCCGAGGGGACGCCACTCCCCTTACACTAGCCCAACTCGGCTGTGTTCCTGCGGGTGCAAAAACAACGAAAAAGGTAGGAAAAGAATCAGAAAGCTGTGATCGAAAGAAACGCGGACATCCGGTGAAAAGCAAAGCAAAAGCAAACAGAGACCGCTCAAGAGAAACAAAACCACGAAAACCAAGAAAAGTCGGGCCGTACCATCTGTCCAACCAGCGATCAAAGCAAGTCGCAAGCAAGCATGGGTCAAGCTGGGGCCGAGGGGGCGCTACTCCCCTTGCTGGCCGAGGCCAAGGCCGCCGCGGGGCAAAGGCCCAAGGAACCCAGTCCGACAGCGACCCCGGCCACTGCCAACCCCCTGCGGGGCCAATCCTGCAGACAATCCATCCAGTAAGCAAGGCAAGTCCAGGTCAAAACGCGCGTCAAGCTGGGGCCGAGGGGGCGCTACTCCCCTTACTGGCCGAAGTCACAGCCGCCGCACAGCCGGAGCCAGATGACCCCGGCTAAGCAGCAGCTCTGACCACGGTCAGCCCCCTGCGGGGGGAGCTGTGCCGCGTGCACGCGACAGTCACCGTGTACGCGACAGCCACCGTCCGGCTGGCCGAGCGGCCAGCGGCGGGCGCGTAGGAACGACCGGCGCACGAGGTCAGGCTGGCACGCCGGACAGGAAGAGCAGTGACGGCCCGGTCAGGCTCCGGCGATGCTTCAAGTGCGGCTCCACCGGGCACCTGAAGGCGGCATGTCCGCAGCGGCGGGTGCGGCTGGTGGCTGCGGAGGAGGAACAGACGGACGGCGACGGCGAAGCGTGGCTGGTGAGCTCAGTCGGCGGCGACGCGTGGCTGGTGAACTCAGTCGAAGCCAGCGCCGCGGAGCCGGAAATGAAGACGGTGACGGTGAACGGCCAGCAGCTGGCCATGGTCATGGACACGGGGAGCCCGGTGTCGCTGGTGAGCGCGGAGACAGCGCGGCAGCGGGGGCTTCTGCAGCAGCTGGACCCGTGTGACCTGCGCCTGACCTCGTTCACAGGTCAGGCCATTCCCTTGAGAGGGGAGGCGCTGGTAAGCGTCACGGCGTCAGGAAGACCCGCGACCCGTCTGCGGCTGGTGGTGACCGGGTTTGGACCCCACCGCCCGCTGATGGGACGCGAGTGGCTGCAAGCGCTTGGTCTGATGACGTCACCGGCTCGGGTATGCCGCGTGCAGCCGGCGCGGACGCTCGAAGGCGTGCTGGAGAGGCACTCGGCGGTCTTCAACGAGGAGCTGGGACGCATCCCGATCAAGGTGGGACTGCGGCTGAAGTCGGACGCCAAGCCGGTGTACCGACGGGCGCGTCCGGTGCCGTTCGCCCTGCAGGAGGCGGTGGACCGCGAACTGGACCGTTGGGAGGAGCAAGGGATCGCCGAGAAGGTGCCTCCTGGACACTTCTCCGGATGGGGTACGCCGCTCGTACCCATCCCCAAGAAGGACGGCGTGCGGCTGTGCGCGGACTATCGGATCACGGTGAACCCGCAGCTGCAGCCTCTGAAGTATCCGATGCGCACACCGGAGGAGCTATTCGCCAGCATCCGAGGGAAAAAGTTCTGCAAGCTGGACTGCAGGAACGCCTATCTCCAGTGCGAGCTGGACGAAGAGAGCCGAGAGATGACCACAGTGACCACACACCGTGGTGCGATGCGGATGAACCGTCTCCCGTACGGGATCAGCACCTGTGGAGCGCAGTTCCAGGCGATCATGGACCAGGTGCTGGATGGTCTTCCAGGAGTCGTCTGTTACCTGGACGACGTGCTGATCGGCGCCGACAGCGACCGTGAGCTGATGGACAGGCTGGACCGGGTGCTGGAGCGGCTGAAGGACAACGGCGTCCGCCTCAAGAAAGAAAAGTGCCAGTTCGGAGTCCGAGAAGTGGTGTATCTCGGTTGGCGACTGTCTGAGGCGGGTCTGCGCCCAGTGCAAGAGAAGATGGCGGCCGTCACAGCAGCACCTGACCCTCGGAACGTGCAGGAGCTGCGATCTCTGATCGGGTCAGTCAGCTATTATCAGCGGCTGCTGCCCAACCTGTCTACCGTGCTAGCGCCGCTCTACGCGCTACTGAAGACGGGCGTCAAATGGGCATGGACGGCGGAGTGCGCCGCGGCAGTGCGCCGTGTGAAGGACATGCTGTCCACGGCGCCGGTCCTGATGCGGTACGACCCCGTGCTGCCGCTGCGGCTCGTCACGGACGCCAGTGCGACAGGCGTCGGAGCGGCTCTGATGCAAGTGACGCCCGAGGGGCTCGAGAGGCCGGTACAGTACGCCTCCCGAACGCTCACTCCAACGGAGAGGAAGTACGCCCAGGTGGAGAGGGAAGCCGCAGCCGTCTCGTTCGGAGTGCGGCGGTTCCACCAGTTCCTGTTTGGTCGGCCGTTCACCCTGGTGGTCGACAACAGGACGCTCTCCAGGATCCTGAACCCGGACCGTGAGCTGCCCTCTCTGGCGGCGGCTCGCATGCAAAGGTATGCGCTGCAGCTCGCGGCGTACCAGTACAAGATCGAGCTGCGCCGGACGGAGGACATGAGGCTGGCGGACACGATGTCCCGTCTGTCGGTGCCGGACGAGGCGGAGAACCGGCTGTCGGCAGAAGAGGAGGCGGCGTACGGCGGAGGCGGCGTAATGTTCATCGCCGAACAGGGGCCGTGTTTGACCGCGCAGCAGATAGCAGTGGCCACGCGCCGAGACCCGGTGCTCGCCCGCGCTCTGGCGGCGGTGCGATCGGGCTGGCCGGCGGTGGTGGACCCGGACCTGGCTCCCTTCAAGAATCGCCGAGAGGAGCTGACGACCGAGGCCGACTGTCTGCTCTGGGGCGGCCGAGTCGTCATCCCGAGCAACCTGCGCGACACCGTCAAGCGGGAGCTGCATGAGGGTCACTTCGGCTGCACTCGCATGAAGCAGCTGGCGAGGCGCTTTGTGTGGTGGCCGGGACTCGATGCTGAGCTGGAGGCGCTGGCTCGCGGGTGTCAGGCGTGCGTCTCAAAGCGAGCTGAGCCGCCGCAGGCGACACGGCACCCGTGGGAGCCGACGGACGGCCCGTGGCAGCGGGTGCACGCCGACTTTGCTGGGCCGATGCTGGGCCATTCCTTTTTGATAATGGTCGACAGCTACACAAAATGGATCGAAGCTGTGCCGATGAAGACGACGACGGCGGCCCGGACGGTGGCCGTGATGCGCGATATTTTCGCCCGTCTGGGACTGCCAGTGCAACTGGTGACCGACAACGGCCCGCAGTTCGCCAGTCAGGAGTTCGCGGCGTTTGTGCGGTCAAACGGCATTCGTCACACTCGTGTCGCGCCGCACCACCCCTCGTCAAACGGACTGGCGGAGAGAGCAGTCGGCACCGTCAAGAACGCGCTCCGAGTCTGCGCGGCGGCCGGTGGGGGAGTGGACCTCTCTCTGTCACGCGCGCTCCTGGCGTACAGAGTGACGCCCCACGCCGCGACTGGACGAACTCCCGCCGAGATGCTGTTCGGGCGGAACCTACGCACTCGGATGAACCTCATGGTTCTGAGCGCCGAGACAGCTCTGCAGGCGGCTCGGGACCGGCAGCGTGAGACGGCCGGCGGACGGAGCAGGGAATTCGCCGTGGGAGCTACAGTGTGGGTCCGCTCGTATGACGGTCGTCAGAAGTGGGTCCGCGGCACGGTGGTCGCCCGCCCTGGTCCCGTGTCGTATGAAGTGGATGTGGGACACGTAATCTGGTCGCGCCACGTTGACCAGCTGTTGGCGGCGGCGGCTGACCCAGGGAACAGCGCCGGCGGTGACGTCAGAGCGACGACCGGCGGTGACGTCAGAGCGACCACCGGCGGTAGTGTCCGAGCGGCGACCCGTGGTGACGTCAGAGCGGCGACCGGCGGTGACCGGGCTGGTGGCGCCGGCGGCAGCGCCGGGCGCCCTGTCGGAGACGATCGCGCCAATGGCCTCGGTGACGGCAGCCCCGCCGGCGTCGCCGGTCAGGCCTGTGACCGGGGAGCAGTCGGCCTCGGCCGTGCCGGTGATCTCGGCGGCGGCGGTGATGCCGGTGACCCCGGCGGCGACGGCCGTGCCGGTGACCGCGGCGGCGGTGGTGATGCCGGTGACCCCGGCGGCAACGGCCGTGCCGGTGACCGCGGCGGCGGTGGTGATGCCGGTGACCCCGGCGGCGACGGCCGTGCCGGTGACCCCGGCGGCGGCAGTAGTGCCGGTGACCTCAGCGGCGGCGGTGATGCCGTCAGCGGCGGCGGTAGTGCCGGTGACCTCGGCGGCGGCGGTGATACCGGTGACCTCAGCGGCTACAGTCACACCGGCGGTGGCGGTGATGTCGGTGACGGCGGCGGAAGGGGCGGCGGGGACACTGAGGGCCCCTCGCAACGCCGTTCCGCTCGGCGCCGGAGGTGCCCGAGGCGACTGATCGCCGAGGTTTAAAATGTGTTTGTTTCCACGTTCCGGCGCGTAATGTGTTTGTTTCCACGTTCCGGTTTAAAATGTGTTCCGTTTTAAGGGCGGCAGTTTAAAGTGAATGTGTTCCGTCTGAAGGGCGGCAGGTTAAAGTGAAAGTGTTCCGTTTAAGGGCGGCAGCTTAAAGTGAGTGTGTTCCGTTTTAAGGGCGGCAGGGTGTGGTGTCGCGAGCTGCTCCCCCCTGCCCGGGGGCCTGGCGACGCCACTGGCGGCGCCGGCGCGCAGACGCGGGGTTCGAGGGAGTCGGCCGCCGGCCCGCGCGGAGTGCGGTTGCTGCAGGAGCGATCGGTGTTTGGCGCTCTGGGAAGTTTAACGCTATGCGGCTTTGGTTGTGAATAAAGAACTCACGTTACAACATCCTTCCACGTTCCGGCGCGTAATGTGTTTGTTTCCACGTTCCGGTTTAAAATGTGTTCCGTCTGAAGGGCGGCAGGTTAAAGTGAAAGTGTTCCGTTTAAGGGCGGCAGCTTAAAGTGAGTGTGTTCCGTTTTAAGGGCGGCAGGGTGTGGTGTCGCGAGCTGCTCCCCCCTGCCCGGGGGCCTGGCGACGCCACTGGCGGCGCCGGCGCGCAGACGCGGGGTTCGAGGGAGTCGGCCGCCGGCCCGCGCGGAGTGCGGTTGCTGCAGGAGCGATCGGTGTTTGGCGCTCTGGGAAGTTTAACGCTATGCGGCTTTGGTTGTGAATAAAGAACTCACGTTACAACAAGAGGCTTATATCTCAGCAACCGCTGGACCGATTGGCCTGCGGTCTTTTTTGCTGGGTAGCCCCATTCCTTCTACCCCGTAATTGACTACTTTTGATACAGCTCAGTGACCGTCGTGGCACGTGCCACGCAGTGGCGTACCCAGGAATTTGCGAAGGACCAGGGCATTGGACGAGAGGGCGCCAATCAAGGAGGGCGCCTACAACAAGGAGGGCGCCACATATCTGAAACTTGAATGTGTCAGTTATGTTCGTACACGTGCGGAACGAACATAACTGACATACTGGACAGAGGGGCGCCACCCACCATCATCTAGGAGGCAGGAGCGCGACGCTATCGATTGGAGGGGCGCCAATACTGGACAAAGGGGCGCCACCGGCCCACCATATCGTCTAGGAGGGCGCCACTATCACCAGAGGAGCGCCAATACTGGACAGAGGGGCTTCGCCATCAACTAGAAGCGCGCCGCTATCGACTGGAGAAGCGCCAACACTGGACAGAGGGGCTCCAGTCACTGAGGGCGCCGGGGACGATGAGCCAAAGGGACAGGGCATGCACGGAATGTCCTGTATGTGCGTACGCCACTGGTGCCACGTGAAAAGTCAAGGGTGTTCAAGCTGTTTTGCAAAAGTAGTGATTTTGAGAGGCCCATATCTCAGCAGCCGCTTGGGCGATTGTCTTGCGGTTATTTTTATAGGGTAGATGCATCCCTTCTACCAAAGGTCGGAGATGCTTGATCTATGTGAGGGACCCCCACTGCACGTGCAAAATGCAAAAAGAAGAGGTGCCAAATTTGTTCCCATTTCAATAACTCGGTAATTACTGGGGCGATTTCGCTGAAACTTGGCATACAGGTAGGCACCCACCAGGCAATGCATTCCCATGTGTTGCGGTTAGGGTGCTACTGCACGTGCGCACGTGCAGGGGCGCTCCCAGATCTCGAGAACGTCTGGGCCGATTGCGCTCAAATTTGGTACACGGTTGGGGGCCAGTTAGTAGGGTGCCGTGCAAAAGTCAGTTTGGACCCCGCTTGCACGTGCGCACGTGCAGAATGCCGCTTCCAGATCTCAGGAACGGCTGGGCCGATTGCATTCAAATTTGGCACACCGCTAGCGACCGGTTAGAAGGGTGCTTTGCACAAGCCCGTTGGAAGTACCCTCTCGCCCTTGCGCACGTGCAGGGCTCACTATCTCGCTCGCTCGTTCTTCGCCCAAAAGGCGTTTTACTGGTGATAGTAAAAGTGGGCATGTCACTATAAACATGTACTCTCGGGATTATATCAGTGGTTGGTGACCTATATAGGGTCTTGAACTGCGCTCCTTTTGGACGAAATGCTTAATAACACTCTAAAACATCGGGTAACATGTAAACATGACACCATGAATCGGAAAATGCACCCGTGACCCCCGTTTATGCCTCTGAGGTCATCTCATGTCATGAAAGGTTCAATAGAAAACACCCTACGATGCGTTTAGTTCAGCGATACGAACTGACAAATGTGCATCATGACCTAATCCCGCCAGGTCAAGACCTTGACTTTAGGTCAAAGTTTTGAAACTATTTTTAAACGTCAAATTCGAGCGTCTCGACAAGGCCAACCCGCTGTCGAGTGTCGGTAGCTTCAACGTGACAATGTTTGCTTAATGTCAAAAGCTATGGTAGAAAACATTTCCATAGCATCGTCAGCTTTAACCCGCGAGTTGCTGGGGGGGGGGGGGGCGTTAAAGGGAGATAATGAGCTTTCTTGTTTCTTAAATAAAAATTACTCGACATCTATACTATTTCTACTGTAGTTTCTATAAAATATGAAAATTTCCTAGCACATTTTCGTATGTGAAAAAGGTTTTTATTTTTGCAAAAAAGAAGCAGTACTTGCAGTACTTGTAACACCCACTGAAATGCGTTGTCCTTCTCTATAAAAAAAGTCGCAGACGCAGTATATGGCGCTTTTGTTTCAAACAGCGACGCTGGGATTTTTGTTTATGTTATCGCCTTGTCGTTGCTTGGTTGTAAGGATTCTAATTTGAATTAGAGTTAATTCGGTTTAGAATTAATTAGATTCTAATTCGGGGGGTACATAGTGCCTACTCTTCTTTGTTTCCAAGCGCCACAAATGAACGGCATGCGCCAGAAACGCAGCCAAATCTTGCGATTGCGACTACGAAATTCATTATTTTGGCCTCAGAGCCTGAAGCGAAAAATACAAGCATATTTATTTCAAAAAGACTTCAGGTTTGTCGAACGGTGTTATGAGAATTTTGATAACAGTACTGCATAAGTTTTTCAGTGATGCCGCAAAAGTGTTGTATCTATCTTCTTTTATTGTGCAGTCGGCGGGACCACGGACGTATAAATAAACTGGACTGACGATCCCAATGGACCTCCTATGGAAGATAGTGAAGCCGACAAGGCGCCATTTTACGTTGCCAAAAACCCGTGCTCTGAAAGGTCTACGAACCATTACAATTGGAATTGCGTCTAAACGGATGATCGGATCGAGATGCTGGTGGTACCGTTCGATGGGTAATGCTTTGAGGCAGGTGATGATGCATGACACAGGTCATTCGGTGTCACGTGGCGCGTGCCACGTGCCGACAAAGTCGGGAAGGACAAAAACCTTTAAACGACGCTCCAAATTAAACGGTGGACGGCACAGGTGCCAAATTCACAGGTCACATGTCCCGGTGTTTGACCATTACCATATGGTATGCTCGGCAGCAGGGGGTGCGGAATGCACGCGCCAGGGGCGAAAAACATGTTTTGAGGATGCATCCTCCGATTCCGGAAAACCTTGACCTAGGCACACCAAATTTGGCACACTGACACTACTGGACGAGCGCTTTAAGGCGCTGTGCAAATAGATGTGCTGGGGTACACGGTGCACGTGCTGTGCACGTGCAAACCTTTTGATGTTGCACTCTGTGTCACATATACGGGCAGAGCGGGTAGCGCTAGCAAGCTCAAAGTGCCAAATTTACACAGGCCACCCAGAATACATTCCAGCATAGTTATTGAGCATATCTATCTCCTGGTGGACCCCAAAGGTGCGCTCTGCACGTGCAAAAAAAAAAATTATCCGCGCCGAGCGGTGGGGATGCTTGGACACCCCATGTAGGTTTATGTAAATATCTCGAAAACGGCGTTGTGGAGCGCCGCCGTTTTTAGCACACCCTTTCATGAATCTTTTTCACACATGCTGCATAACTTTCAGACCCAGGTCACTCAAGGTTAGGTCACCAGGTTACGTCCAAGTGGCCTTACCTTAGGAAAAGTTATAATGCCCGTCATAGCTACACAGACTGAACAATCGGTCTAAAACGTTGGCCTATAGTCGATGGTCGATAGTCGATGGTCGATGGCTACCTATGGTCGATGATGACGACAACAACGTTCGTCGGTCCCCCTGGTCGGCTCACCATTTAGGTGCTGATCCATTTGAAAATGGGAGATGATATCACTTTTGCCTACTCCAGTCAGGGACCGCGGATTCCGGGGGGCAGGGTGTGCAATTGCACACCCTGAAAATCCTGAGGGTGTGCAAACACCTATTTTTGCACACCCACAGTTCGTTGTGGGGGCCCATGCGGCCCTGGCGCTTGAGTGTCCCAAGCCGATTCTCGAGGGCCCCAGTGCGAGCCTGATGGTCCCGCACCGGTGCCTGACGGCGTGAACGGGTTCTAGTGTTATCTCAGGGGTTATCTCAGAACCCCACCCACGCCATTTTTTAGCGCTCCCATCGGCTCTTGAGGGCCCAGGCCGATGCGCGAGGGCCCCAAGTCGATGTCTAAAGGTCCCACGCCGGTGTCTGAGTACCTACATGGCTAGCTCAGGGATCTACGCCAGTTTCTGAGGGCCCTGACCGGCTCTTGAGGGCCCCTGCCCCCTGCCCTCCTTAACCCCATCTTGGGGCCGATGCCTAAGGGTCCCGCATCAGCACCTGAAAGCCCCCAAAGTTATCTCAGGGCCCCATACCAGTTTCTGAAGGCCCTCACCGGCTCTTGAGGGGCCCCAGACCGATATCCAAGGACCTCTGGCCAATGCCCGGGGGCGCAGGCCGATGCCCGAGGGCCCCAAGCCGTTACCCGAGGGCCTTACACAGCCATCTCAGGGTATAATGCCACTTTCCGAGGGCCCAAACCGGCTCTCGAGGGCCCCAGGCCGATTCCTGAGATCCCCAGGCTGATGTGAGAGGGCCGACCGACTGAGGCGGCCCCTACGTCACTGTCTAAGGGCGTCCACGACCGCCATCTGGTCAAAGCTGATCTCTGAGGGCCCTACGCAGGTTTTTAAGTGCACTCAGCTCTTGTTTAGGATCTCACACCGGCCTCTGAGATCGGACGGCTTATGCATGCCGCAGAGGAGCCCTTACCGGCTCCTGAGGGTTCCGTGCTGATAGTTGAGGGCCCCACTCGAGAGTCTCATTCAGTAATCTCAGCGCCCTACACCAGTTTGAGGAACGCCGTTCGGCCAAGGCCGACCTCCGAGGAAAAGCCGTTTGAAAGCCTCGTAGTGCCCTCACTTTCTTTTTTAGGATCTCACACCAACCTCTGAAGTCGCAGGGCTAAAGGGTGCTTCTGATAACCCTCACTAGCTCGGACCCAAATCGATGCATGATGACCCGACAGAAGTGCCTGAGTAGCCCACACAGTAATCTCAGGGCTCACACCAGTTTCTGAGGGCCTACACGAACGCTTTTTGGCCAAGGTCGATGTCTCGGGGCCCTATTCAGGCATCGAGGCTACTCGGGCGCCAAGAGACGGTGGGGGACCTCCAGGCGAGCTTGCTTGGTAGTCATAGGCGGCGGAACGGGGAGGGCACCGGGGCACCGTGCCCCCTTTGATTTGGGCATTTTAACATTAGCCCTATGGGCGTTGCATGGAAAGAATGGGACCAAAAGTCGGCAGTGCCCCCCCCCCCTTAATTGAAGGTGTTCCGCCGCTACTGTTGGTAGTTGGTACCCCATGGAGCCGGCGACAGGTGTCAAAGAGCCCGGTATGGAGGCCCAAGAAGCGGCGTGGGCATCCATATTTCTATGTACATGAGGTATTCCAGAGGCCATTATGGGACCTTCAAAGACCGTGTGCGGTGCGCCGAAGACCCTTAGAATTGCCGGCGTTGGGTCTCAGGAGCTGGCGTGCGGCCTTTATGGGGCCCCAAAGCCAGCGTGTGGGCCGTAGAGCAATGGGGAAGCTAAGGGGGCCGGAGGCCAGACCCCCATAGGTCATGGGGGCCAAATCGATGGGCCCAAACATCCCGCCGGCCGTGTTTTATTTTTAAACTAATTCATGTAATCCATGATAAAAAGAAGTGTGCCAACATCAACTGTGCAAAAGGGCTCTCTGAGGCCCGTAGGGGCCCTTGAAGGTCACTGTAAGCCTTTAGGGGTCTGCTTGGGAAAATAGGAGATCGATTTGGATCACGTTGCTTGCATGCATGTGCATTTACTCTGCTCATGCATCTCCTGACCGTAAGATGCTCGCTCAGTCATCTTACGACCGTCAATTTTGAAGATTTTCCCGCCCCGCTTCCTTAGAACCGGCTTATTCCGGAGCAGTGGCGGCGCTGACGACTTTTTGAAAGAGGCCCAGCGTGAGATGGGGGGCCCAATCGCCACATCTTGCACACCCTACGAGAATTTGAATCCGCGGTCCCTGACTCCAGTAGGTACCCATCACCCTCACGTGAGGCAAAGGACACAAAACATAGACGAGCGGTGTCGCCTGAAGAAGTTCGTTATGTGCTGGCAATAGCTAGTACCACAGTTTGATAAACAAATCACCAATTATCTCAAAGCAAGAATTGAGAGTAACCGCAGATTGTTTGATACGGTCTTTAACCCGCGCACCGACGGGGGGGGCGGATATCCGCCCCCCCCTGAGGTTTTTCGCGAATAGCGGGAAAACCGCGGCGCGTAGCGCCGCGAAATTTAGTATGACTATAACCTCATCAATTTTACACATGGTGTGCAAGTTTGAACTTCCTACCTTTTAAGGTCAGGTCACCAGGTCACTTTGAATGACCCAACCTCAAGTCACTTTTTTGCAACTTTGTCACCGTGCCACAGCTACAGTAGATGTCGGAGGCCTTTGAAAGTCGCAGGATATTATTAGGTCATTAGTAGCTACAATTTGTATATTTTGGAATTTTGATATCGGTGACCTAAGGTCAGGTCAATTTCGCGACCTCCCCATTATAAGTCAATGGGGGAAAAATCAACTCCCTGTTTTTACCACTAAAACGGGTCGGAATGGCCCCATATACTTTACATGACTTCATATACGATCAACCTTCACTACCTTGAGGTCTGTTTTGCCGTTGGGCAGCTGTGAGGTCATGTGACGTCATCAAAGGTCACCAAAGGTTTTTGGCCAATAACTCCGTACAGGAACAAGATACAGACGCGTGGATGGTCTCATTGTGTTCAGCTCGTCAAGACGCATCGAATGATATACATGATGATCTCGAGGTCACGTGACCTGAGGTCAACCTTTGACCTTGACCTTTCGAGGTCAACATATATATCATTCGATGCGGATTGACGAGAGGATCACGATGATGCCCTTAGTTTGTTCCTATCTTGACTAATTCGAAAGTTATTCGAGAAAAACTCTCTCCATATCTAGCGCCGCCATTTTGACTTTTTCGACCCCTGTGACGTCATCTTTGACCTGACCTGAAAATGACCTTAGTAAAAATTGTAGATCTTGGCCGTGCGTATCCGACGCCGTTTACCGCTTGTCGCTATCTTGCTTCGTTCTCGAGATCTCAGGGGGGGGGGCGGTCATCCGCCCCCCCCCGTCGGTGCGAAGTTGGCGCAGACCCCCGTCGGTGCGCGGGTTAAAACGGCAAACCATTTCTTTTGCCAAATTCGGGCTCCAAAACTTTTAGCTACCCAGCAACGCAAATTTACGCTACCATCGCCCGATAGCGCAGAATAGGCATCTTTGTTTCCACGTTGTTTGCGCCTGTAGTGATACTGTACCGCAATAACCATTATCTTCATCTTTCACCCATAGATGGCAGTAGCAGAGCGCCTGCATCTATGCTGTGCCGCAGTGCTTTTACAATACGAACTGAGCATTGAGCAAGCGCGGTGTAATACGATTATGTGGTGGCCTGGACCGGTGACCGCGGCCAAGAAGAAATGGCTCCAACTTGACTGAGTAGCGGTAAATCAGCATCTGATATTAAGTTATTATTACGAGACCATGTTTGGCCGGAATCGTGATTCGGCGTACGTCGGCGCGCACTAGCAGCGCGTTTGCTGTCTTTTCGTGGTTTCAAGCATTCAAACATGTGATGTGATGTTGGTCACATGCAATATGGCGATTGGTGGGTGTCAAGGTCACGTGAAAATTAGGTCAAGGTCACTGACCTTTAATGACCTTGGTTCACCTTTTCGAGTTTTACATGTTTCTAGGACAGTTTTTGGAGCTGATTTGATTTCGAATTTAGCATTCAGTTCAACATTTAAGAAGTTATAGTTTTAGTGCATTCGTAACATGTTACGACGCCATCAGTGGTGGTGGACACCTACTATGGATAAGCTACTTTACTATGGATAAGATACTTTAGTCTTTACTATGGATAAGATACTTTACGTATACCTATATGGTGCTCTTAATAATCGCCGCCAACGTTTTAGACCGATTGTTCAGTCTGTGTACCTATGACGGGCATTATAACTGTTGACAATTCAACTTGACTCAACTCTCAACTCTCAAATAAATCCGAAAAATCTCCGACACAGACCTGGAGACACGTGGCTCAAGCCATTTCAATGCGTATATATTGAATCAGACGATTCCTGCGCACCACATCACATTTCTCAGGCCACGTCGACGACCGTCGAAACACTAAACTACTGCTAAAAAATAGTCGTTGAATCGCTGCCAAGAGAAGCGTTCACTAAATTCCGTAACATCCTCCCCCCTGAAATGCGAACTTCAGAGGGCGCATTTCACACAGGTACGGAACCGATCTTACAACGACAGATCCATAGTTCACAGCGAACAAGACTGCATCACTTAATTCAATTCAGACAGATTCAGACAGAGAATCTGAGTCAAACGCATCAGTCTACAAACGCAAACGTAAATCGATTCACCACTCTTCAAACAAACAAACGCCAACCTCGACGCAAACGACATCAAACTTTTCACATCACCAGGGCCACTTGCACCCTGCACTCTGCGAGCCACCACACGCAACTGTCAACTCAGCGCGTCCTCTGCACGCCGCCTCACTGCTCAGAGCGACATCTACAGTCGGCGCCCAACACTACCTTGCCTGTAATCGCAGACGAGAGAAAAACAAACTAACACTGCTGACGAACACTGCGGTCTAACACCGCCGACGAATGTGAGCGGTTCACGGCTCAGAGGACAGCGGGTCGAGGTCAAAAAGCCTCTGGATGGGACGGGTTTTTAGACCAGACGGAGTCCGGACTTCTGCCGACCTCACCTTTCCGTCTCGGCCGGTGATCAGTCTCGTGACGACGCCATGTACCCACCTCATGCGCGGCACGTTATCCTCCTGCAGCATGACCATGGAGCCCTCGGACAGCTTACCTTGAGGCCTGAACCTTCTGACAGAAGGCGGCAGGGTCCTGACATACTCCTTGTACCAGACAGACCAAAATCTAGCCAGACGCTTCTCACACACACGAGCTCTCTCAGTCAGCGCCTTCGCATTCACACAGGCAGGGTCCTCCACCACCCGCGAGGAGAACCCGGTCCCTCTGCCCGTCAGAAAGTGCGCCGGGGTGATCGGGGGGCTCGAGTCCAGTCCATCACCAACAAACGTCAATGGACGGGAGTTAACACAACACTCAACTTCTAACAACACAGTCTCCAGCTCATCCCGTGACAGACAGCGTGACCCAAGCGACTTGCGCAGGCCCACTTTCACGGAACGGATGAGCCGTTCCCACCATCCGCCCCACCACGGCGAATGCGGTACAATGAAGCGCCACTCAGGCGCCAGATGACTGTAGACACGCTGCAGCTGCTTATCAGCTACCCTGAAAGTAGGTGCGTTGTCAGAGTACATGATCCTTGGTAGACCGCGCCTGGCTGAAAAACGCCTGAGTGCTAGCATGAATGCCGGTAACGACAGGGCGTCAGTCATTTCAATGTGAACGGCACGCGTGACAGCACACGTGAACAGGCACACGTAAAACTTCTTCCGTGGAAAATCGACGCTGAACAGGGGACCACCAAAATCAACACCAGTCACTGTGAATGGAGGGGACTGAGTCACTCTGCAGCCCGGCAGAGGCGCCGCCTCCTCGTTGAACGGTCGAGAATCGTGACGAAGGCAGCTGACACAGCCGCGCTTCACACCCTTGGCGATGCAGCGCAAGCCCAAGATCCAATACGCTCCTCTGAGCGAAGTCATCATCGTTGAGACACCCGCATGTTTCAGAAGAACATGCTGCTCTCTTGCCAAAAGCACAGCCAAGTGACATTTTGGCAGCAGAATCGGGTGCTTCTCCTCGTACATCAAGTCAGAGAACTCCAGCCGACCCCTCACTCTGAGAAGTCTATCGTCAGCGATAAACGGGTCGAGACCGATCAGGCGCGAGCCCTTCGGCAGCGACTGGCGCTTCTCCAACGCGCTCCATTCTCCAGAAAACGCCTTCCGCTGCTCCTGTCGCAGCAGATCGAGCCTCGCGTCAGCTAGCTCGAGAGTCGTCAGATCAGGAAGACTGCACCTGTCAGCTGGGACACGACAGTTCCGTATAAATCGACGGACCCAGCCCGCCACACGGACAGCCTTGGACATCTTACCCCAGCGTTCAACAGGAAATACTTCCTCAAACTGTGAAGTCACCAAACAGAAGGACTCTACTTCAACCATCTCCTCAGTAATAGGATCAGACACCTTCTCGTCAAACGAACACACAGCTCCGTCCGGTGTGCACAAGGTAGCACCGGGCGAGCACACGGCAGCGCCGGGTGAGCACACGGCAGCGCCGGGTGAGCACACAGCCCCGCCAGGCGAGCACGCCGCACCGCCGGACGAGCACACAGCACCGCCAGGCGAGCACACAGGCGTGCGCACGGTACCGCCTGGTGAGCACACAGGCGTGCTCACATCACCACCAGCTCGGTACACATCACCACCAAGGGAACACACGTCACCTCCACGGGGGCACACGTCACCTGCACGGGGGCACACGTCACCTCCGGGAGAACTCACAGAGACGCCGGACAAATCGTGCTGCACCAAGACAGACTGGTTCACGTCAGGTGTGTGACAGTGTGACAGCCAAGATGGCCCACTGAGCCACAGCTCTGACCTCACAAGCTCCTCAGCAGACACCCCGCGTGTGGTGAGGTCAGCCGGGTTACACTCCCCCGGACAGTGCTGCCACCGTTCAGGATCCGTCAGACTCTGAATTTCAGTCACTCTGTTGGCCACAAACTCCTTCCACTTACGTGGATCGGCCCTGATCCAACCCAGTGCTACCATTGAATCAGTCCAACAGAGGCACGGAGTACTGTGCGAGAGACGAAGCGCACTCCTCACGAACACGACCAGGCGGGCCGCGATCAGGCAGCCAAGAAGCTCTAGCCTAGGAAGACTAAGCTTCTTAACAGGCGCCACACGGCTCTTTGCCATCACCAGCGACACATGAAATGACCCATCCTCCAAAGGGACACGGATGTAAACGGCAGCTCCATACCCTTTGGGCGATGCATCGCTGAATGCCAGAAGCTCAGCGCCGTGGCCGTCCCTCCACGCGCTCGGCGAGTAGCGGCGCGGCACACGCAGCTCCTTCAGCACCGCCAGTCCACTCAGCCATCTGGCGAACGTCTCACGACAGGACTCCGGCAGCGGGTCATCCCAGTGCAACCCCAGCTGCCACAGCTCTTGGAAGAGAGATTTCAGAGTCATCACAAACGGGCTGATGAATCCAAGGGGATCGAACATGCGTGCGACAAAGCTGAGAACGACACGTTTTGTGGGAACAATGTCGTCAGGCAGTGACACGCCCTGGAATGCGAACAGGTCATCAGTCGGGTTCCAGATCACACCGAGCACCTTCACATGCTCACTCTCACCAAACACACCCTGCGCCTTGTCGAACAACAGGGGGCTGTTAGAGCGACACTTGGTCAACATCATGTGGGCATCTCTCATCACACGCTGAGCCTCTGAGAGCAGCGCGGAGGCCTCACTCTCGCTGTCGGCACCCGACAACAGGTCATCCACATAGAAATTCTCACGCATCTCACGAATGGCAGGAGAATCAGGGTACAGAGACAAATGATGTCTAATCGTAGCACTTAGGAGGAAGGGAGAACTACTGACACCAAAAATGACCCTCTGTGACTTCATCACACGCACACGACCGTCACAGTCCCACAGGAAACGGTGGGTGTCTTGATCCTCGACACTCAGACCGACCTGCAGAAAGGCTTTCGTGATGTCAGCGGTCACTGCGAACGGCCAACGCCTGAAACGCAGGAGAACCTCCAGCAGGTTAGGCAGGAGGCAGGGTCCCACCTCCAAGCAATCGTTCAAAGAGACACCGTTAGGCCCACGAGCGGACGCATCGAACACTGGGCGGACTTTAGTAGAGGTGCTGCTCTCCTTGACTACCGGACGGTGGGGCAGGTAAAATGTAGGGTTCTGGGTTACCAGCTCCTCCACAGGCACCTCTGTAATCACCCCAGCCCCCTCCATCTCACACAGGGCACCATCATAACGGGCACGCAGGTCAGGGTCCCGCTCCAGCTTACGTCCCAGACCAGTCAGCCGCTTCTCAGCACTAGCTCGGTTATCCTGCAACAGGTCAACTGCACCCTCCTTCCATGGCAGTTTCACCACATAACGACCATCAGCTGATCGTTCCACAGTGGACTCGAACGTGGTCATCACATCAGACTCATCACCAGTGGTCACATCCGTCACACCTACTCCCTCCAGTGACCACAGACGGCGCAGCGCCGACTCATGTATGTCACCCAGACACAGGAGCTGACATCCACCCTTGTGGTCATCTACGCCACTCACCTGACCGCTCAGCACCCAGCCGAACACAGTTCTCTGAGCCACCATACCCTCTCGCAGTACTCGCGTCTCCCCACTTACCAGTTGCCAGAACTGATCAACACCGACCAGAATGTCGATGTGCAGACTCTCACTCTCTAGCGGGTCAGCCAGGACTACACCATCAAGCTGATCCAGAACAGAGGCCGGCAGAAGTGGACGCGCGAGGGGGGCACATATGGCTGGAACCGCCACAGCTCTGAGGTTCTGAGGGGCAGATACAGAACCATGTGAACCACTCACACTCAGCTCATACACGTCACGGGTGGCTCTGGGAACCTTTCCTCCTCCGAACACTGCATACCCCACCTCCGTAGAGCCACACCAACGCGGCTGCACCTTGCGCACAAGCGCACTGCTCACATAAGTAGTGTCTGAGCCAGAATCCAACAGAAGGTTGGCCTCAACAAGACTCCCCCCGTGACCCTGCACCAGCACCCTTGCTACAGGGAGCACAGAACACTTCTTAGCTCCATCACATGACAGTGACGCACCTCCACCCCCCTGGGGCCCTCCCTCCGGGGCTGCATCAGCCACCACACTGAGACTCTGAGTCTGACTAGAGTCAGACTGAGGCAGAGCAGCTGTCTGCTCCCTCTCCACACCACCTACCTCTACACGGGATGGCACTCCGACACTCTTACCCATGCACAACAATGGGTGATGGTTACCTCCACAACGATCACACATCCTACCACAATCAGTGGCCCGATGGCCCACCTCAAGGCATGAGAAGCATGCGTACAACTCACGAAGCTTCTGAAATTTCTGACGGAGATTCAGACGCTGGAACACTCTACATCTCTCAGATACATGTCCCTTACCGCAGAAAGAGCACTTAAGCTCAGATGAGTGCAGAGCTGCCCCGGAGGGTAGACCAGGGCCGGTGCCCCGCGCCTCCGTGTACACAGACGGGCGCCGGCTAGTGACAGCAGGGTGGCTGCCCCCACCTCTCGAAGATGAAGAACCGCCGGCACTGCCAGCCCGAGCGGAGACTCCGGCACCACCAGCCCGTGAAGAAGCGCCGGCACCACTGGCTCGTGAAGATGAAGATGATGCTCCAGCACCAGCCAGTCCCACGTAGACACCAGAGCGACCTCGCCGCTCCACCTCCCTCGTCAGGAACCCGATGAGATGATCAAGATCAGCCTCCTTCTCCTCGGCTTCACGGGCCCACTCCAGGCGGACAGCATTGGGTAGTCGGGAAAGGATGATAGGATTTAGAAGCACACCATAGGACTCTCCTGTAATGCCGAGGGCTTCCAGGCTTCTGATGTGGATGAGGAGGATATCTACTAGGTCACGGAGCTTGTCCAAAGGAATAGGATCAAGGTTGAGGAGAGCTTGCACATGAGAAAATATTATTAAATCCTTGCGTCCAAACCGCTCTTGCAGAAGATCACATGTTATCTTGTAACTCTCGCTACTCAATGCGAGCCCCTCCACGCATCTCTTCGCCTCACCATCCAGCAACGTTCTCAGATAGGTGAGCTTTGTGACATCTGCTAACTTCGAATCATGTACTGCGACACAAAACGCCTCCCAAAATGCAGGCCAATCTTGGGGTTTTCCAGAGAAACGGGGCAGGTCCAACCTCGGTAGCTTGGGGGTCTCACCTCGGATCCCAGCACCAGCAGCTGGTGCTGCTTGGTGGACTGCCAGCAGTTTCATGGCCCTCGCTCTCAACATGATCAACTGGTCCAACGACCCTGAAGACTGGTCGGACAGGGTGTCCTCCTCAGATTGTTCCGACTCAAGAGCCGCCTGCGCGGCTTCAAAGTTACACATCCTCCTATCAAAGAGAGCAAGCATGGTTTCCACTTCAAAAAGATCCACATCTTTGCTTGTCTGTGCGTCACTTTGCTTTGCATCTTTGCTTGTCAGCGCGGCGCTCAGGGACTCGCCTGCACGATTCAGCCACCCTCGGGCGGCGTTCCTCGAACGCTTCAAGCGCTCTATCTCCGCCATACTCGATATCAGACTGGAAACGGGAAAGAACAACTCAGTAAATATTCCCGGGTTTCGGCACCAAAATGTTGACAATTCAACTTGACTCAACTCTCAACTCTCAAATAAATCCGAAAAATCTCCGACACAGACCTGGAGACACGTGGCTCAAGCCATTTCAATGCGTATATATTGAATCAGACGATTCCTGCGCACCACATCACATTTCTCAGGCCACGTCGACGACCGTCGAAACACTAAACTACTGCTAAAAAATAGTCGTTGAATCGCTGCCAAGAGAAGCGTTCACTAAATTCCGTAACAATAACTTTTCCTAAGGTAAGGCCACTTGGACGTAACCTGGTGACCTAACCTTGAGTGACCTGGGTCTGAAAGTTATGCAGCATGCGTGAAAAAGATGCATGAAAGGGTGTGCTAAAAACGGCGGCGCTCCACAACGCTGTTTTCGATATATATTTACATAAACCTACATGGGGTGTCCAAGCATCCCCACCGCCCGGCGCGGATAATTTTTTGCACGTGCAGAGCGCACCTTTGGGGTCCACCAGGAGATAGATATGCTCAATAACTATGCTGGAATGCATTCTGGGTGGCCTGTGTAAATTTGGCACTTTGAGCTTGCCAGCGCTACCCGCCCTACCCGCATGTGTGACACAGAGTGCAACATCAAAAGGTTTGCACGTGCACAGCACGTGCACCGTGTACCCAAGCACGCCTATTTATAAACTCACCTGTTAAACTCACCTGTTAGGTTTCCACAACCTTGGCTCGTAAAGGAAGGAGTGGAAACCTATTGCGTGCAGAGACGCGCCAATTCCTTGGGTGGGCAGATGGCTGGACCTCAGGCAAGGAATTGGAATGGTGCGTCTGCATTTGGTATAACACTGAAAAAAGAAAACTGGTGCGTGTTTTAAGTGCCAGAATCCTAGACAAGATGATCAATTATGTAAATGAGAAAAGAGGGTACCGAAATGTGATACGTTCTCGGAAGGAAAGGTCAGGATAGGTAACCTAGGTTAGTCCACCCGGTCCAGCTCGAGAAGGGCGGGCAGCAGCTACCTAGGGGGTAAGGGCGGAATATGATAGGTAGCCCAGGCGCGTATAACCCCGCCCCAACTTGGGAAGGGTGGGGCGCTTACCTGGGGGGGGGGGGATGAAGGATGAGATGTGGATCGTTTGCCTTCTCTTATCCTGTGTGTTCGTACAATCTACTGCCCAGTGCGGCTTTCAGTCCCTTTTTAAACTGCACCAGGGACTCCTCGTTCACCAGCCAATCTGGGAGGGCATTCCAATCGCGCACGACTCTGTGGGTGAAAAACCGTGACCTTGCATCTATAAGACTCCGACACGTTTTTATCTTTCTACTATGCCCGCGCGTTCTGTTGTCGGCCTCCAGATCCCAGAGGATCTCCGGGGATATCTTACTGTGGCCGTGAAAAATCTTCCAGCATTTGATAATATCGGCTCGAAGGAGGCGTCCCTTCACAGAGAATAGGTCAAGTTCCTTTAGGCGATCACCATATTCCATATTGCGGAGCCCAATCACATTGCGAGTCCAGAGCCTTTGAACAGACTCTAATCTTTTGAGATCCTGTACATAGCCACTGTTCCAGATCGGTGACGCGTACTCGAGAATGGGGCGAATGTGAGATTTCAGTATATGAGTCATAAAGTCAGGCGAGCGACACCTGGTCGATTTCAAGAAATTGTGAGCAACTCCTCCAGCCTTCGCTGCTATGCTGGCACAGTGTTCATGGAATTTCATCTCGTTGTCGATGATAACACCCAGGTCACTACATGACGTAACGCAGGGAATTGTGTCACCAGCCAGTGTGTATGCACGGGGCTCGAAGTCATGGAATCGTCGCCTAAATCGTATGACGGCGCACTTCCTGAGGTTCATGCTGAGACCCCAAGACTCTGCCGTAGAGTGGAGCAAGTCTATATCCTTTTGTAGCGCCTCTTCACTGGTGTTGTGTTTATCGTTGTCTAGTTTGATAAATACTTTAAGATCGTCAGCAAAGATCTTATAACTGCACGACAAACTGGACGCAACGTGGTTGATGTAAACCAGAAAAAGAATGGGTCCTAAAACCGATCCCTGAGGAACGCCACTCCGAACCTCCGCAGCTGAACTCGTGGTGCCCTTAACAAGAACCTGCATCGTACGCCCCACCAAGAAATCTGTCAGCCATGTGATAAGTCGCCCTTGGACACCGACTAACCTGAGTTTTTCTAGAAGAATGGTATGGCGCACCACATCAAAAGCCTTTGAAAAGTCGAACAGAACTAGATCAACGGGATGGCCCAGATCTAAGGCTACAGTTACCTCATCGTAGGTCAGGAGTAGCTGGTCTTCCGTGGATCGTCCTGGACGAAAGCCGAACTGTTCGTCACTGAGGATCTGATTTGCAATGAAGAATGCGTAGAGCTCTTTGGAAATTATCCTTTCAAGACTTTTGCAAGATACAGACGTGAGCGATACTGGTCTGTAGTTCATTGGGTCGTTACGAGAACCCTTCTTAAGTATCGGTACGACGAGCGAGGATTTCCACGCCGAGGGCAGCGCTCCCTCCAGAAGAGACTGCCTGTAAATCATGAGAAGTGGTGTGCATAAAGTTGCAGCACATGCCTTAAGCAGGGCTGGGTGCAAGCCGTCCTGACCCATTGCTGAGTTCGGATCAAGGCTACTGAGCGTAGAATGTACGTCAATTAGGCTAATGTCAATGTCAGCCATGACAGTATCACTTCGCTGGTGAGCAGCTGGTTTATCTGGAATCGTCGTAGCGTGTATGCCAGTAAACACATGCAAAAAGCAGTCAGCCATCTCCTTGGGGTCGTCAGATATGGTATCAGGGTCGAGACGAAGAGGACCAACTGAAGAGCGAAGCTGCTTCTTGTGTCTAATGTAAGAGTGTAGCAGCTTGGGATTATCTCTAGACCTTGCTATGAGTGATTTCTCGTACTCAATTTGCGATGATGCGGCAAATGATCTAAGTTGCGAGTTGGCCTGCTGAAAACCTTCCAGCGCCAGGGTGGTCAGATGCGACTTCCTACCATGTTCTGACCTAAGGCTTTTGTATTTTTTCCAAGCCTCCTTTCGCAGACGTTTCAGCGACGATGGGGGATTCGCCTTCCAGGGGATCTTCCGCTGCCCACCACCCTGACCGGCTCGCGGAATGAACTGGTCAACGAGGGGCTCTAAGATAGACAGCAGCTTAACAAAAGCGTCTTGCGCGGAGATATGTCTGAGCTCAAAGTCCCAGTCAACAGTGCTGAGAGATGCATTGATAGCACTATACTGTCCTCGATGCCACTGGTGTCTCAGGAGTTGTTGCGAGTGTAACTGAATGTCCATGTCGAATACATACTCACAGTGAATACTACAGTGATCGCATCCGGGTGGGGGAGGCTGCACTTGTACTGTAGTTATCCTGTCCTGCTCGGAGGTTAGAATAAGATCTAGAACGTTGCCAGACCTCGGGAACGTGGTCTCATGTATCCACTGCGTAAGTCCGAGGGCAATGAACATGTCAACAAATGTCCGATCAGCTGCTGAGAATTGCCCACAGGGTTTATGGTCAATCCAGGCAACCGAGGGGAGGTTAAAATCTCCGAGAATGACTACTTCCTTCCCAGTGCAACTAGTCAAAAGAAAATCAGTTAAAGCCTGGTTCTCGCAAGAAGAGTATGAAGGGGGTCGATACACCACGTAAATGTGAACGTTCATCTTTCTCAGTCTAAATGACAGGCAGTTAGGGTGTGTTGTATCTACTTCATCAAATCTCAAGGCCTCTTCCACAAAAGCGCAAACGCACCTTAAGCACCTTAAGCACCTTAAAGGAAAAGTGCCACCTTCTTGAAATATGAAGATATCGTTGGTTTTTATTTTGACATTATTATTTTCCATTTTCTTTTCAAAACCGGTGCCAGAAGTGCATAATTCGCTAAAAAGTATTTCAAACTATTTAACATATTGGTACTATGTTTATACTCTCTACCGCAGCTACTGTATGATGTCATTGTAATGACGTCACACTCAAGCCAATCAGCCTTGAGGAGGATAGACTCGTCGGACTGTATGTAACGGAAGTTAGCAGGGATTCAGCAGGGGTTCAGCAGGGATTCAGCAGGGATCGACGGCCCCTACGATTTCGCTGAATTTTGGTGGAGAGGTGCAGAATGGTGTCCTCTATCGAAAATCCTAGTGCCAAAATGCGGGGAATCCATCAGGGGGGCCACAAATCCCAAAAAACAGTATGCCCTCAGGGCACAATCGACGAACTTTGAAAACCCTACTTCTAGCCGTCAAAACAGCTAAAAATGCACGTCATTCGAAAGAGGACAACATTTTACGTGCAACGGTACCAAATTTAGGGGGCTAGCGCCCCCCTGAACCGAACAAAACAGCTTCAAATATATGGGCCCGGGAGTATGCCCTCGGGGCATAAATAAATGTTTTCAACAATTTCAGGCCTATACCATCGACAAAATCCAGCAATATGCACATCATTGGAAAGAGCGTAATTTCCCAAACAAAAAACCCAAGTAACATTTTTCGATGGGGCCCACCTGGGGCCCACGGGACCCAATTGAAATTTGGGGCCCAATGGGGCGGCCCCTACGATTTTCTTCAAAATTTGCACAGACACTCTCCTGGGCCCCCTCTTCAATCTGGCTGAAGAAACCTACCGGGGAATCCAAAGGAAGGGGCCGAAAGAGGGCCCCAAAGAGGCCCTTTCTAAGTATTGCCCCTAATTTCGCGACCAACCCCGGCAATATGCACATCATTGGAAAGAGCGTAATTTCCCAAACAAAAAACCCAAGTAACATTTTTCGATGGGGCCCACCTGGGGCCCACGGGACCCAATTGAAATTTGGGGCCCAATGGGGCGGCCCCTACGATTTTCTTCAAAATTTGCACAGACACTCTCCTGGGCCCCCTCTTCAATCTGGCTGAAGAAACCTACCGGGGAATCCAAAGAAAGGGGCCCAAAGAGGGCCCCAAAGAGGCCCTTTCTAAGTATTGCCCCTAATTTCGCGACCAACCCCGGCAATATGCACATCATTGGAAAGAGCGTAATTTCCCAAACAAAAAACCCAAGTAACATTTTTCGATGGGGCCCACCTGGGGCCCACGGGACCCAATTGAAATTTGGGGCCCAATGGGGCGGCCCCTACGATTTTCTTCAAAATTTGCACAGACACTCTCCTGGGCCCCCTCTTCAATCTGGC